GGTGCAACAAGCGGGACATCGATAGGGCGTGGGAGGCGGTGAGGCTCGCCAAGAAGCCCAGGATTCACACTTTCATCGCTACTAGTGAAATTCACATGAAGTTCAAGTTGAAGATGACCCCAGAGCAGGTGATTGACAAGGCTACGAGCATGGTGGCTTATGCACGAAGTTTAGGATGTGATGATGTCGAGTTCAGCCCGGAAGATGCCGGAAGGTGACGAAAATATTATTTTACTTTTCCGATTGTTGTACTATGGATAAGTATTTGTCTAGAGATTCCTGACTGTCTTGAGGCAATATTAACCAGAAATACATGTGGTGATAATTTTGATCTGATACAGTAGTGTACTACCATTTTATAGCTAAGCCTTAATGGTTTTTCTAATTGCTACAAGTTTAAAAGAATTCATAGCCACAAAAGGCGAGTACAGCAGCTTTTGTAGGTGAAACTTTCGAAACATTCTACGTTATAGTAATATCTGATATCACTGACTTCTTTTGTGTTTAATTTCAACACTAGTGATTTAACTCTTCAAGAGTTTAAAAAACTCATGTGAGCGATGGTATATTTGAAAATCAACCGCATAGTTTATTTTCATTGTCATGTCCGTTAATACAGGGTTCCATATTAAACCATTATTTTAGACCAGCTGGTTCTCAACGATATATTCATATAAACATTATCCTACTATACACATCCTCCACCACCATCTCCACTCTTATATAAAGTGATGTTGTGCTGTCTCTATGGGTATTGGTAGGTTAAAAATGTCAGCATATGTATAATATGTGATGCATGCTGGCTCTTTCCCATATGTTTTGACTTAGCTTACAAAATTTATACCAACTTTGTCGGTTGATACCATGTACCAACTTTCGGCCCAAGTGCCTCTTTGTACTCTGTAGGCTCTTGTAAATTCTGTGAACGATTTGATGCTGCTGGTCGACATCTGGTGCATAGAACTAATGCGTGTAAGTTCATGATGATGAAAGCCACTAAACTAGTAGTTTTTCATGTTTTTCCCATTATTTTCAACTTGGGGGATCCTGATGATCGTAATAGCTTAATGTGACCTCATCTAGAAAGTGTTATCACATTTTTCTTCTTTTGTACCTTACAGATCAGACAGAGAGTTTCTTTATCAAATCCTGGGAGAAGTTATTAAGGCTGGTGCAACAACTCTTAACATCCCTGATACAGTTGGCTATACTTTGCCCAATGAATTTGGTCAATTAATTGCTGATATAAAGGCAAACACTCCTGGAATTGAAAATGTGATTATTTCCACTCACTGTCAGAATGACCTTGGACTTTCCACTGCTAATACTTTGGCGGTATACGTTTTATTTTTGTTTGTGCTATAAGATATATA